AAGTCAATCACCAAAGTATATCATTTTCAGCTGTTAAGGGGCGTTTGCGACGCTGTTAAGTCCTTCCATTAGGCTTTCAGCGAACTCAGAGTGAACGTTAACAAAATATTGAAAATCGGTTCTCGTAGCTCGGGTGAACTGAATTCCATTTTGCCTGTTCGCCGAGCTTGGCAATTTGTTTGCAAACAAATTGCCAAGCTTGGCGAACAGGCGAAATGGAATTCAGAGTGAACGACCTAGTGATCAATAAAAATTGGGAGCCATTTTTAACCCTTAGTTTTTGGGTGCACGACCCAGTCCACAGTAAAATTCAATAAAACTTGATATGGTGGACACCGTTGTCTTACTCTCCAAGTCCGGAATACAACCAGGATTTATTGATAGAAAGCACGGAATAACGAACAAACTCTTTTCCGATAAGCTCATCCTCTGACTGGTACAGCTATGTAAGTAGAGCAAAGGCACATCGAATTAGCCTGGTTTTATATGGGCGGGAATTCGATTGATAGATTAACTTATTCTATTGTGTGTATGTCTTTGTGGTCTACGGACAAAAGTGGCTGTTGGGTAGGTGGGAATAGGAATGAGACACACAAGAGTTTGGACGGGGTCAAGGTTAACTATCACCTATTCCGGTCATAGGGTCGTCAAATTTGATTCGGGAGTGACTCTAAATCGAATTGCTATACTTCCGGAGTTGGGTTCGGAGTTCGTCGCTCAGTTTAGAACGCAGAAGAGTGCAATAGCAGGAGGACGATTGGAAATTCGATATTGTCGAACAAACAGCCTTTTTGAATCAATAGACTTGCGAAGAGCAGCTGATCCGAGAGTGCAGTCTGATTGCCAAATTTCGACTTACCATGGCTTGCAAAAGTCATTTCCATTTTGCCATGTGTAACTAAAACGACAGATTTATCCTTAACTATCCGTTTATTTGGTTTCATTCCACGGAGGATATAAATTTAGAAATTTTTTGGCAAATTATTCGATCATTTATTTTCCCGTTTAGAGAAAAATATCCGACGACGTGAAATTCATCTTGGTTCATATAGACGTACATTATATTATTTCAAATAAAATGTTTATGTCCACTACCAACCCCTCATTCGCCATAGCCCTGTTGATATGTACTGCCCGTAATACAGCCCGTACACTAACATTTAGTTTATTAATTTATGCAGGTGATGCGCCTAGAAATTTCTATAATTACAAAGTATTTTTAGGGACCTACATTCGTAAATCCTTTTCTTTTCTTTGGAGACGAAATAAGTATTAAAACGCAAGGCTACTTTTCGGTGCTGTTCTTCAATAAAGGTCCATCGAAAATCGACAACTCCAAACGATTTTGAATATTAATGAGTTTAATCCAGATCAAATATTATCAATCATTATTTTCGTGGCACTTTCTAAATTATTTTATAAAGCTAACCTCTTCTTTTCAGAACCGTCCTCAGAATCCTGCCAAAACGGCTGTTGTTTCGAGTATCATACGTGTTTTAAAGACCAGGGATGTAATAGACCATAGACTGCCTACCATTAGGCACTCCTTTCTATATCCTTCTTCATGCAATGACGTCCTACTGCAAACATAAATTATCCATCAACCTGAGCATCTGAAATTCCCAGCCAGTTTACTAGTTTACGGTAGCTTACTAAAAACAGTAGTTTACGGTTTATGGCTTCAACACCAGTTTTCAAAGTTAGGCTCTCTAGCTGGGGACCCCGAGATGTTGGTCACCGATGGTTAGAGACATTGAGTTATATGGCTCGGTGTCACAAACAGTAGCGCTAGTACATCCACTCATTATTCTCCTAACAGCACTCTATACTAATTATCCATCTTCCGCTTGAATTTTCATTTAACAGTACAATCCTCATTCGGCTGTTTTATCCAAATGGGTGGCCAAAAGACAGCAACCAAAACCAGCTCACGAAAGTGCATGGTTAATGGTTGTAAAAACTGAACTGAACTGAACCTCGAAGTTCTTTATTGAGTCTACAGCAGGGGATCATGATTTTTAATATTTGATAAATCCGATAGGAAAACAAAAAGGGGAATTAGCTCGTTCCTATAGTTCCATGATCAAGCTAAAGTAGCACTGTATGTAGTTATATATAATCGTTTAAATAGAATTTTTTATTGGGAATGGAATATAAATTAACTGTTCACCATTTTGGGTTGCTTCTCAGTATCAGCCCATTTTCGTTTGTTTGCGTTCTCTAAAACCAGTCACACATTTACACCATATGGTCAAGAGAATCCAAGTGGCTGTAAGAAATGCCTAAAGCGCACTACCTTTCCCTGATGGGTGTGCCCGAGAAGTTTATTTCAATATTACAATCCCTCTACAATAATAGCCGAAACCGAGTCTAAGCTTACGGCACTTTTCACTACAGATATTGCTGTTCGTTAGGGTTGCCCTCTTTCTCCTTTTCTATTTAACTTTGTTATAGATCTGATTATGGAAACAGCCCTATCCTCGTGCGAGGATAGTGGCATCGATTNAACTCTGACACTGCCTTTCCCTGAAAGGTGTGTCCGAGAAGTTAATTTTAATATT